ACATTGTTTCCAAATAAAGAGGAATTTTTTTTTTTTTAATAACTTTTAATAATTAAGTTTCTTGTAAAAATAATTTTATAATTATTTAGTTTTATTAATATTAGCTCAGATTTTCACCCAAAAATTCTTTTTTGATAATTTAACACCATATGGGTACAGTAGACCCGTTGTGCCATTTACGTTTGAATTGTAGTAGTTAAGGGTTAAATTAACAATAATCCCTAATAACACAAGATATCTTGGGATATATTGATAATATCCCGCAGATATCCTAGTGATGTTCTATGGATATCAAAAGGATCTCTTAAGGATATCTAAAAAATCGGCGGTTTGGATATCCCATGGATATCTGAGGATATCCACAGGATATCTTCTGGATATTTCTATAGACTTTCATAAATGTCCTTTAGATATCCCACAGATATCATCAGGATATCCTATAGATATCGTCAAGATATCCCACAGATATCATCAGGATATCCCATAGATATCGTCAGGATATCTCACAGATATTTTCAGGATATTCTCAGTATATCTTCTCGATGTCAAGAAAATATTCTCAGGATACTGTTTTTAAAGTCATTCCCTCACAACACAAGGATATTCAGGATATCCCTGGGACGTCCTGGGGATATCCATTTGCTTTTGGCGATTCGGATATCCCTAAGATATCCTCTGGATATCCATGGACATCTCTAAGATATCCCAGGGATATCCAAACCGCCGAAAACAAATCGATATCCCCAGATCGTCCCAAGGATATCCTGAATATCCTTTTGTTGTGAGGGTTATGAGACTATACGAGTGAGAATATCCCGTGAATATCCTAAGAATATCCCTCGGACATCATGAGGATATCCCATGGATATCCTGCGATATAATATCCAATAGATATTTTGTGGATGTCTTAGGGATATCCTGTGGATATCCTATGGATGTCCTGTTGATGTCCCACAAACCGGTGGTTTAGATATCCTAGGGATATCCTATGGATGTCCTGTTGATGTCCCACAAACCGGTGGTTTAGATATCCTAGGGATATCCTATGGATGTCCTGTTGATGTCCTACAGACCGGCGGTTTGGATATCCTAGGGATATCCTATGGATATCCCAAGATATCCTGGGGACCACTCTAGGATATCGACCATTGATATGGATATCCTATGGATATCCTAGGGATATCCTTTTGTTATGAAATAATGATTGAACATTTTGAAAAATGAAGAATTGTATGTAAACCCTTAATATCGTAAAATTTTGATGTTTGATCTTTTTTTTTTTTTTTTTTTTGCCGGTATTACAACACGAAGGTATAATAAGGACCATTTCTTTTTCGTACTACTATCACGTTCCCACAATCTAAGTACACGTTGCGTGCAATCTTCCTTCCTTTCGCGTTTCTTCCTTTTCGCTTCTTCTTCTTCTTCTTCTTCTTCGTGAACTCTAAGTATTATTAACGCCCAGATTGACAGGTACACGATATCCTAATTCAATGATAGTCGATGAATCGTCGATCTCGAGACGGTGTTTACTTACTCTGAGCTTCCTGCCGTTTTCATATGATCAATGCCTTGTTTCCCCCCTCACCTTTGTTTTTACATCTGTTTTTCTTCATTTCCTTGCAAAATACTTTTATCCTCAAAATTAAATGAAAAAAAAAAATCACTTTCAATTTTTTATTCAAATATAGTAACTAAAATTATTTGCATATTTTAAAAATTAATATTTTACATCGAGGAGAATTTGATGTTATTATTTATAATCTAAAGAATTTTTTACAGTAATAATTAAAATAATATTTATTATTATTTTTTTTTTACAGAAAAAAATATGTTAAACCGATATTTAGTGTTTTAAAAATACCCATTTTGTCTAATCATAATTTCCATAATTTACTGTTTACAGTAGTTTGAAAATAGATAACAGAATTGGGTAACAAAAATCGTAATTCTATAATTATGTTAGTGTCCCAACCCTGGTTCATTGTCGCATTTATTTCATTCATTTTTTCATTCCCCCCCTATTCCCACTGTTCCTATTTGTCATAATTCTCGTCAACTACCGCACTCTGCTCTAGTAAAAATTTAGTAACTACATTGATAAAATTAAAAGTTACTTTAAAGTTACTAAATTTCTATTAGAGCAGGGTGCGGTAGTTGACGAGAATTATGACAAATAGCGAGTGGGGAGAATGGAAATATACCCTAAAAAGTTCAGGGTTGGGTACTAAAAACCACTTTCAGTGATTCCTAAAATTGTTTTCTTTTCAATTATGTTATTTTTGAGTTAAATTTCATTACAGGGTTGGATCACTCTAGAGTTAACTTTCTCCATAATTAGCAAATGCAGGGTTGGGTAATAAAATATTACTACCAGTGATTCCTAACCTATTTTCTTTGTGATTTTTGCCTAAAATTACCTATCAGGGTTGGATCGTTCTGGTTAATTTTCTTTTCCAAATTGGATAATACAGGGTTGGGTAGTAAAAAGCTACTTTTTGAGATATACAACTGGAAAATGCAGGGTTGGGCAGGGAAAAAATAATTTCTGTAATTCCCAAACTTGTTACCTTGTTTTTCTGGAACCTTTAACCTAAAATTACATAACAAGGTTGGGTAACTAGTTAATTTCTTTTCCCAACTGGATAATACAGGGATGGGTAGTAAAAAATTATATTTTAGAGATAAACATCTTTTTCACCTAGCTGCAATTGACATTCTAGTACTTTTTCTCCTAAATTTAAAAAGCAGGGTTGGATAGCTACAAAAACAGTAGTAAACCCCACTTAGAAAAATACACCGGAAAGTGCCCCTTCTGGTGGTTCTATTAGAATTTCGCCGCTACTTCCAACGTAATTCCATCGGAAATCCCATCGAAGTTCCAAAGAATTTCTGATGGGATTCCGATGGAATTCCGATGGAATAAGGACTCTAAAATTTTTGAAAAAAATTAATTGGAATTCCGTCGGAATCCCATCGGAAATTCTTTAGAACTCTATTAGAATTTCGCCGCTACTTCCAACGTAATTCCATCGGAAATCCCATCGAAGTTCCAAAGAATTTCTGATGGGATTCCGATGGAATTCCGATGGAATAAGGACTCTAAAATTTTTGAAAAAAATTAATTGGAATTCCGTCGGAATCCCATCGGAAATTCTTTAGAACTCTATTAGAATTTCGCCGCTACTTCCAACGTAATTCCATCGGAAATCCCATCGAAGTTCCAAAGAATTTCTGATGGGATTCCGATGGAATTCCGATGGAATAAGGACTCTAAAATTTTTGAAAAAAATTAATTGGAATTCCGTCGGAATCCCATCGGAAATTCTTTAGAACTCTATCAGAATTCCGCCGGAACTTCCAACGTAATTCCATCGGAAATCCCATCGGAGTTCCAAAGAATTTCCGATGGGATTCCGATGGAATTCCGATGGAATAAAGACTCTAAAATTTTTGAAAAAAATTAATCAAAATTCCGTCGGAATCCCATCGGAAATTCTTTAGAACTCTATCAGAATTCCGCCGGAACTGCCAACGTAATTCCATCGGAAATCCGATCGAAGTTCCAAAGAATTTCTGATGGGATTCCGATGGAATTCCGATGAAATAAGGACTCTAAAATTTTTGAAAAAATTAATCGGAATTCCGTCGGAATCCCATCGGAAATTCTTTAGAACTCTATCAGAATTCCGCCGGAACTGCCAACGTAATTCCATCGGAAATCCGATCGGAGTTCCAAAGAATTTCTGATGGGATTCCGATGGAATTCCGATGGAATAAGGACTCTAAAATTTTTGAAAAAATTAATTGGAATTCCGTCGGAATCCCATCGGAAATTCTTTAGAACTCTATCAGAATTCCGCCGGAACTTCCAAAGTAATTCCATCGAAAATCCCATCGGAGTTCCAAAGAATTTCTGATTGGATTCCGATGGAATTCCGACGGAATTCCGATGGAATAACGACTCTAAAATTTTTGAAAAAATTAATCGGAATTCCGTCGGAATCCCATCGGAAATTCTTTAGAACTCTATCAGAATTACGCCGGAACTTCCAAAGTAATTCCATCGGAAATCCCATCGGAGTTCCAAAGAATTTCCGATGGAATAAGGACTCTAAAATTTTTGAAAAAAAATAATCGGAATTCCGTGGGAATCCCATCGGAAATTCTTTAGAACTCCGATGGAATTCCATTGGAAATTACGTTGGAAGTTCCGGCGGAATTCTGATAGAACCTCCAGGAGTCACTTTTTGGGGGGAATCTTTCCAAGTGGTCCCTCAAGAATAAGATGTTGTTTGTGACCCTTTCAAGTTGCTCTAAGATTGTGTTAGAATACCGTTATAATGAAGGTTTAGGGACTTTTCATTAGAATCGTTAACCGCGCTGAGAACCTGCAACTTTAGATTTCGATCATGGACATTTGCTTCGTCTCTTCGATGTTCCTTTTTCAATCTTGGCAAATAACTAATCAATGAATCGTACGATAACGAGACACTCATTCGACTAACTAACTATCTATTGTTTTTAATCTAAACCACTTTTTTTTTCGCTTATATATTCATTCAACGTTATATACAATTTAACGCGAAGTGGACATGTGTCAAGGAATGTTAACATTTCGATTAAAGTGAACTTTCGATTGGAATGTTCTTGTCCTTTGGTTATATGGCTTGTAACTAGAAGATAAATGAGCTTCCGGGTAAATTATCTATAGAGTCACACCCTTGTAGCAAACACATCGAATGAGACAGGATTCTCCGGCAAGACTATATATATATATATATATATATTTGATCTTTTACGCGTCCTCGCCACGTTTTGCAAGTAAAGTGACATTGATAAATGCGTTACGGATGCGCTTAGCTTTAATCGACCTGCGCGCAAACTACCTTCTCAAGATTATTGTATATAACTTTTGCCGGTTACTATAATAATTTTTATTTTGTTGTTGTTGTTGTTTTTTTCCTATTTTGCTAATTTTTTTCTTTCGTAATTTTCAGAATGGAAACCTTCCAAGAAGCAGGAATCCAAATGCTGAGGGAATTCAGAGCATTGTTGCAACATTCGCCTCTTCCACTTCCGGGAACTCGTCTTCTTCAGTTACTGGCACTAAATATGTTCGCGATTGAGACAACGCAGCTTAAGGGTAAGTCCTTCTTTCTTTTTTTTTTTTTGCCTTCTGCTATTAAAATCCTTTTAGATCCTTTTTTTTTTAAATCTTTGCAATAATATATAATAGTAGTTATGGCGCTTGAAACTGAGGATAAGTAATTTTCACTTAGCTGTATATTAGCAATTGTTATTTGCCCTTCTGATTCGAATGTTCTTTAACAAACCCGCACCACCAGGATAAATTGTTGATAATGACCTCTTGTGATAAAGGTATATAATTCAGGAAGCAATGGTTGCAAACACGCTAAGAAGATGAACGCTTGAGATCGAATGTAAGCATATACTTAACATCAGGAAACACGTAACCATTTCCTGGAAATAGTTTGCACTTTACGCCACAACAATAAAAAAAAAAAAAAAAAAAAACCCTTCCCCCCACCACTGTCGGTTAGTAACATCGATCGAAGATATTGATTCAATTATGGATTCAGGAATTCCAAGTAATTCTCTCTTTCTCTCTCGGAATTTTTTTTTTTCTAGAAGATAAATGACGATTATTTATAAATTTTAAAATCACTTTGGTGAATGAAACAATTTCTCTCATTCTGTAGAGTTGCGTGTTTTTTTTTTTTTTTTGAAAATGTTGCACTTTTTTAGAATTGGTTTATTTTATTCGCTTGTCGAGACTACTAAAGCTGTCTCGTAAATTCGAGTTAACTACACTCAATTTGCTTGCCAAAAGTCGTTCCTATATATTTAATCTGAATATTTTTGCGTAGGAATGAAATCAACTCGACCTTTTTACTTTCCGACTTGAAAGTTTTTTTTTTTACTTTAAGTGTGTTATTGTTGTGCAACGTTGCGAAATTAATAGTTTGGAAAAATATGAAAGTTTTTATTTATAAATTTTATTTCTTTTGTTTTTGTATTGGAAGGCAAATGATTAATAACTTAAATTTCCGCACGGTAGATAAAAAAGTCAAATAAGTATTTTTGCCACGAGAACATATCGGAATTTTTTTCTGTTATAAAATAGTAATTTTTGAGTTAATTTTACCAAAAAAAGCTCAATTTTGTAGCTATCCAACCATGCTTTTTAAATTTAGTTGAAAATAACTAGAGTTACTCAACCCTGGTGTGTAATTTAAGGTAAAACTCCCTGGATAACAAGGTAACATGGTATTTACCCAACCCTGCAATTTTCAAGTTGCCTATCTCTAAAAGTAGCTTTTTACTACCCTACCCTGTATTATCCAGTTGGATAAAGAAATTAACTAAAAACGATCCAAACCTGATAGGTAATTTTAGACAAAAATCACAGAAGCGACAAGGAAACTAGGTTAGAAATCACTGGGAGTAATATTTTACTACCCAACCCTGCATTTAATTAAGAAAAAAATTAACTAGAGTGATCCAACTCTGCTATGTAATTTTAGGCAAAAGTCACAGGAGTGACAAGAAATCAAGGTTGAGAATCACTGGAAGTATTTTTTTTTTATACTACCCAACCCTGTACTCTCAATTTAGGCAAAAGATTCACTTAAGTGACCCAACCCTGCGATGTAATTTTATTTCTAAAGTTAGAGGTTAAAAAAGGAATCAATTTTAAGAATCACTGGTTGTATTTTTTTGCTACCCAACCCTGCATTTTCAAATTAGGAAAAAAGTTAACTAGAGTGATTTAACCCTGCTATGGAATTTTCCTCAAATATTGCAAAATGGAAAAGGGAACAAGTTTGGGAATCACTGGAAGTAGTTTTTACTGTCCAATCCTGTTGAAAATATATCGTAGAGTGACTCAACCCTGCTATCTAATTTTAGTCCAAAGTCACAGGAGTAACAATAAATAAAGGTTGGGAATCACTGGTTGTATTTCTTGATGCCCAACCCTGCATTTTCAAATTAGGAAAAAAGTTAACTAGAGTGATCCAACCCTGCTATGAAATTTTACTCAAATATCGCAAAATGGAAAAGGGAACGAGTTTGGGAATCACTGGAAGCAGGTGTTACTGTCCAACCCTGTTGAGAATATATCGTAGAGTGATCCAACCCTGCTATGTAATTTTAGACAAAAGTCACAGGAGTGACAAGAAATCAAGGTTGAGAATCACTGGAAGTATTTTGTTTTATACTACCCAACCCTGTACTCTCAATTTAGGCAAAAGATTCACTCAAGTGACCTAACTCTGTTATGTAATTTTATTTCTAAAGTTAGAGGTTTGAAGAGGAATCAATTTTAAGAATCACTGGTAGTATTTTTTGCTGCCCAACCCTGCATTTTCAAATTAGGAAAAAAAATTTTGTAGCCAGTTTTGTAGCTACCCAACCCTGCTTTTTGAATTGGTTATTTTCCATTGTTCCCACTCGACATTTTTTATAATGGTCGTCATCTACCGCACCCTGCTCTAGTAGAAAATTTAGAAACTTTTAAATTTAACAATAAAATCACTGAATTTTCACTAGAGTAGGGTGCGGTAGTTGACGACAATTATGAAAAATGTCGAGTGTTTACAATGAAAACAAACCAATTTTGTAGAAAAAGTACTAGAATTTTAATAGAAGCAAGGTTGAGAAGCTGTTTATCTTTAAAAGAGGATTTTACCTACCCATCCCTGTATTATCCAGATGAGAAATAAAAATAAACTAGAGTTACCCAATCCTGGTCTGTAATTGTAGATAAAAGTCCCAGGAAAACAAGGTATTAAGTTTGGGAATTACAGAAAGTATTTTTTCCCTGCCCAACCCTGCATTTTCCAGTTGTATATCTCAAAAAGTAGCTCTTTACTACCCAACCCTGTATGATCCAATTGAAAAAGCTTTAATTAGATATTTTACTTTTAAAAAAACTTATCTTTTATTACTTATCAATTAGGGTTGGTTGAAAATCAATCAGGTTAGATTGAATAATTACATTAGGTTAGGTATAACTAAAATTTCGCGGTAAATTCAAATTTAAATTTTGCGTCAAATTTGAATTAAAAATTTGAAATTAAAAATAAGTAAGAATTACTTTAGTTTTAGTTTAGTTTTAGTTTAGTTTTAGTTTAGTTTTAGTTTAGTTTTAGTTTAGTTTTAGTTTAGTTTTAGTTTAGTTTTAGTTTAGTTTTAGTTTAGTTTTAGTTTAGTTTTAGTTTAGTTTTAGTTTAGTTTTAGTTTAGTTTTAGTTTAGTTTTAGTTTAGTTTTAGTTTAGTTTTAGTTTAGTTTTAGTTTAGTTTTAGTTTAGTTTTAGTTTAGTTTTAGTTTAGTTTTAGTTTAGTTTTAGTTTAGTTTTAGTTTAGTTTTAGTTTAGTTTTAGTTTACTTTTAGTTTAGTTTTAGTTTAGTTTTAGTTTAGTTTTAGTTTAGTTTTAGTTTAGTTTTAGTTTAGTTTAGTTTTAGTTTAGTTTTAGTTTAGTTTTAGTTTAGTTTTAGTTCACTTTTAGTTTAGTTTTAGTTTTAGTTCAATTTTTGTTTAGTTTTAGTTTTAGTTCAATTTTTGTTTAGTTTAGTTTTAGTTTAGTTTTAGTTTAGTTTAGTTTTAGTTTAGTTTTAGTTTAGTTTTAGTTTAGTTTTAGTTCAATTTTTGTTTAGTTTAGTTTTAGTTTAGTTTTGTTTTAGTTTAGTTTTAGTTTAGTTTAGTTTTAGTTTTAGTTTTAGTTTAGTTTTAGTTTAGTTTTGGTTTAGTTTTAGTTTAGTTTTAGTTTAGTTTTAGTTTAGTTTTAGTTTAGTTTTAGTTTAGTTTTAGTTTAGTTTTAGTTTAGTTTTAGTTTAGTTTTAGTTTAGTTTTAGTTTAGTTTTAGTTTAGTTTTAGTTTAGTTTTAGTTTAGTTTTAGTTTAGTTTTAGTTTAGTTTAGTTTTAGTTTAGTTTTAGTTTAGTTTTAGTTTAGTTTTAGTTCAATTTTTGTTTAGTTTAGTTTTAGTTTAGTTTTGTTTTAGTTTAGTTTTAGTTTAGTTTAGTTTTAGTTTTAGTTTTAGTTTAGTTTTAGTTTAGTTTTGGTTTAGTTTTAGTTTAGTTTTAGTTTAGTTTTAGTTTAGTTTTAGTTTAGTTTTAGTTTAGTTTTAGTTTAGTTTTAGTTTAGTTTTAGTTTAGTTTTAGTTTAGTTTAGTTTTAGTTTAGTTTTAGTTTAGTTTTAGTTTAGTTTTAGTTCAATTTTTGTTTAGTTTAGTTTTAGTTTAGTTTTGTTTTAGTTTAGTTTTAGTTTAGTTTAGTTTTAGTTTTAGTTTTAGTTTAGTTTTAGTTTAGTTTTGGTTTAGTTTTAGTTTAGTTTTAGTTTAGTTTTAGTTTAGTTTTAGTTTAGTTTTAGTTTAGTTTTAGTTTAGTTTTAGTTTAGTTTTAGTTTAGTTTTAGTTTAGTTTTAGTTTAGTTTTAGTTTAGTTTTAGTTTAGTTTTAGTTTAGTTTTAGTTTAGTTTTAGTTTAGTTTTAGTTTAGTTTTAGTTTAGTTTTAGTTTAGTTTAGTTTTAGTTTAGTTTTAGTTTAGTTTTAGTTTAGTTTTAGTTTAGTTTTAGTTTAGTTTTAGTTTAGTTTTAGTTTAGTTTTAGTTTAGTTTTAGTTTAGTTTTAGTTTAGTTTTAGTTTAGTTTTAGTTTAGTTTTAGTTTAGTTTTAGTTTAGTTTTAGTTTAGTTTTAGTTTAGTTTTAGTTTAGTTTAGTTTTAGTTTAGTTTTAGTTTAGTTTTAGTTCACTTTTAGTTTAGTTTTAGTTTTAGTTCAATTTTTGTTTAGTTTTAGTTTTAGTTCAATTTTTGTTTAGTTTAGTTTTAGTTTAGTTTTAGTTTAGTTTAGTTTTAGTTTAGTTTTAGTTTAGTTTTAGTTTAGTTTTAGTTCAATTTTTGTTTAGTTTAGTTTTAGTTTAGTTTTGTTTTAGTTTAGTTTTAGTTTAGTTTAGTTTTAGTTTTAGTTTTAGTTTAGTTTTAGTTTAGTTTTGGTTTAGTTTTAGTTTAGTTTTAGTTTAGTTTTAGTTTAGTTTTAGTTTAGTTTTAGTTTAGTTTTAGTTTAGTTTTAGTTTAGTTTTAGTTTAGTTTTAGTTTAGTTTTAGTTTAGTTTTAGTTTAGTTTTA